TAGGAAAATTTGGAATCCGAACGTAAAAGTACTGTGCAAAACATGAAAAAAAATGTAGGGACAGGAGTAACTTCTAATGTATTTTGTTCTTTGAGCATGACATGCGAGTCGACCACTCAGTAAGTCTAAAAGACCATAAGCCAGATTGCCAACTTTTTTTTTACTACTAGTGAGGTTAACAAGTATACGGCGTACCCAATCGTCGGTGGATATATACTAGCTATTTCACGTGGACATAAATATTTCAACTTCAAAATTAGTAGTAGATTCGTTTCTTTCTGTCTTTTTAAATTTAAAGAAATAACTGTTTCTTTTTAACTATTAAAAAAATTATTTTGGAAATCTTTAAAGATTAATAGGGTTTGTTTCAAGTTTTACTTTTCTCTGCAGTGCTGATGTCCTACGTAGTTTGCTTCCTTAGTCGCCTCTTACGACACCCTCGGGGTGAATAGGTGACACTCTGTATTCTTAATCCGTCACCACACGGACAAAAATAAAAACATCTTAGAATATTTAAAAAACTCTCTTCACCATTCCAAGAATCACGAACCGTACAATGAAACCATCAGTTGAATTTTACAACTTGTCTTCTGAGATTTAAATTTACTGATCACTGTTAAAACCTTGATTTTTTTTAAAGAAACATTTTATTTCCAAAACAGCGCCTTCAACTGCGTCACAGTTAGAACATAAAGGGTGTATATAAATTATATTACTTGTATGTAATCACTGAGTTCTGCGAAATATATAACAATTCACTACAACGGACAGACCTACAAAGAAGATGAAAAGATTTGGTTTAGTTAGCGACTGACGCGTTATAAATCTCGTGCCTGTACTGTTCTCGGATGGAAAGAGTTTTATTTTATGTTTTAAATTACTAGACAAATTCATTTGTTAGATATACGCTCTTAAATATCTTAATCAAGGAGGGAAATCCAACACTGATGTTATTTCAACATTTACAATATAGGTTAGCCAAATCTCACCTCTCTGCAGTGCTGTTGTCTGCAGAGAGAAGGAAAACTTGACACAAACCCTTTACCAACCCGTCTGGCCAGCGTGGTATAGTAGGCCAAAACCTCCTTTCTCAGGAGAGGCTTATGTCCAGCAGTGGACTATTAAAGGCTGTTGATGATGATGATGAAATCTCACCTCAGTGATTTCATTTAAAATGTCCTCTATTCGAATTTTAGTTTGTAGACGACTAAAGAAAAACAATAATGTCATCAATACCAGTGCAAGAATAGTAAAATGAAAAGATAATACGTAGAACGACCCCTAGCCGGATGGATGAGTACCTGAAGAAGGTAGCTAGGATGGACTGGATGTGGAAACTAGGTGCTATGGTTCACATCGTGAGAGGTCATCGTCCAATTTAAATTCGATCGATTGATTCGATTTAAAATCGATTGGTTTAAAAGGAGTTCTTATCCTAGTCATCAAGTACAAGCACATAGCTAGCAATCCAGTAGCAACTAGATTCAAAGAGGATAGTAACAATGTTGTTGTTTCAATGAAAATCTCAAGGTTCAAATCATGTATTTTAAACTCTAATTTCATACCAATAAGTTCTTTTCCAAGATGTAAAGAAGTAACAATAAACAAAGACGTATTTTAAAGCGTCCTTCAAATGACGTCTCGTTTACCTGTCTACGACATCTGCTACGGCGTAGGCGTCTACGGAATGCCTACAATGTTTACGCTAACTGCGATATAAATCGTAAACTTGTTTTCTTTTATGTATTTTAGGGAGACTAAACTGTACATTTCGCTATAAACGAAAAAATATCTCACGACATCAGTTGGGACCAAACTAAGACAAGGTTATAATAATAACATAATAATATACCTCACACATCTCACACACGACCGTGAGATCCCAAACTAGGCAAAGCCTGTGCTATGGTGATCAGACTGCTGATAAACATACTTATTTATTTTTAAATACAATATTTTTAAATACAAGAACAAAATGATCATGCTCATCACACAATGTTTGTCCTGGGTGGGAATCGAACCCACGACCTCCGGCTTAGCAGTCAGGGGCACTAACCACTAGACCAACAGGCCCGTCAAGGTTGGAACCAAAAATTATTCTTTAAGTATATTTCTCGAAAATTGATTTCTGTGTTATGGCCAATTTTTTTCGACTCCTTGTGGCGTTGTGGTACGAAAGCTCTTACAATAAAGTATTAAAATGTATAGGACGTTCCGCAACCCCAAACTCAAAATATCTTTATTTCACAAAAAAATTGATTGAAATCGTACAATTTGCATCACTAAGGTGGACAGGTTCGTACCTGTATACGTTCGACACCTGATGGTCGTCACTTACCATCACGTAACGCGCTTGCTCGTTTGCCTCCTGTACCACTAAAACAATCACCAAAATTGACAGATGATCTCTTAAAGATCACAGTTTGACGTTTGGCCAACAATATTGACGTTTGAAATTTTAATTGCACGTGAGAACTTTAATTGCGCGATACAGAATCTGTTATTCTTCTTATCTTCGTTACATGGCACTTAGATATATGTTTTTGTGTGTATAAATAACCAAATTAATTTAAGACTTTTATAATAAAATGATTTTATTTAACGAGAGACCAAGCATACATGTTTGAAATTGCTTGTGAATTTACAACAACAACAAAAATATTCTTACTTAAAATTAGTTATACGACGCATGGCGTAGTGGTTTGTGTAGCGGACTGCTATGTCAAACGTCACGGGTTCGAATCACCGCTCAAGTAAATATTTGTGTGTGTGAACATTTAATGTTTGATTTGGTATGGGTGTTTATATGTATAATATGTATGTTTTTACAATAAAAAGGAGTTATGTATTTATATCAGTTGAATAGTAACCATAGTACAAGTTCTGCTTAGTTTGGGACTAGATGGCGTTGTGTGAATGTAGAAAATAATAATAAAAAGTTATAGATACGCATACATGCATACACTTATGTCTTTATACCCGAAGGTGTACAACAGAAGCGTATTAAAGGCCCTCATTTTACCCACTACAATTTTAATACTCATCATAATCATCAGCCTATCGCAGTCCACTGCTGGACATAACCAGCTCCCATTGCAAGTAAGCCGATAACCGTTGGGGTAAACGAGTTCTTGAGTGGAGACCGTGTCTAGGCAAACGTAGTGTAGGACGCCCAGGTGGATTGAGGATTGGCGCAAGATGGCTGGCAGGAGTTGGATGTGAGAAGCCGAAAATCGATCGAAGTGGCGAGCAATGGGTGAGGCCAGTTTTAGTCTTACTTATAAAATAGGCAGCAACCCTATTGCCGTCAAGAGGACGCAATTATTTCTAAATGTACGTTCATATATATTTTTGTAAATATATGCATACTATAGAATTACACCGAGATACGTCCATGATGGATTAGGAATACAGAGTGTCACCATCCCTATTCATTCCGCTGGTATCGTAAGAGCCGACTACCGAAGAAAACTCTGCAGGACAAGAGCACTGCAAAGAGAAGAAAAACTTGAAACAAACCCTATACCCACCCGTCTAGCCAGCGTGTTATAGTAGGCCAAAACCTCTTTTCCAAAGGGAGGCCTATGGAATATTATTAGAACTCACAACCTCTGGTTTAGCAGTCAAGATTGCTATCCACTAGACTAGATATAAAAAGAATAGATATGGCTCTTGTCTGCTCCACGTGCAGATAATCCAGAGCAGTTGCGATAGTCTCACTTTATTTATAGAATCCCGTGTGTAAATTTAGACATGCGGTAATAGTTTCATAGAATGGTTAGCGAATGTTGTACAAGATCAAAGGTAATTTTTTTGGCCATAAATGTTTATTTTTAGATAACCGTGTCAAAGATATGTTAAACAGATCTGATATATTAGTAGTTGCTGTCTGTTTGTGTGTTAAAGTATCAGCGGTACTGTAATCAATCATTTTTACTTTCATTTCACATTCAGATGATGTTTGTGTGATTGAAATTTGACTTAAGTTGATCAGACAAGGAAAAATATTTTTTCTATGTGTTTCCTATGTATAATTATTATGAACGTCATGTTACTTGCAGATAGAAATATACAATAGATACACTTTGTTTGACCCACAAATCGTTGTTCTGAGTCTGAGCGTTGTTTGTGTCTGTTTCATGTATGTTTGTCAAAATATATCCCTAGACATGTTGCAAATTAGTAGCATCCTTAGTATGCAAATGATAGTACGTGAGATGCCTTTTACACCGGCCGCCCCAATATTTCTCGGGAAAACGTCGAGAAAATATCATTTGTCGTATCACCTCGGTTTGAGAGCACCTCCCTAACTGCTTCAGCCAGTTTCGGAATCCTAGGCATCAACATTTCGAGCGAAGTCCAGTTTCAGGGTCACTTAGACGGTAAGGTCAAATTGACGAAGAAGCTCGGTGTGCTGAAGAGGTCGAGGCAGTATTTCACTCCACACACCACCGCCTTCAGTTCTATAAGGCCCAAGTCCGGCCGCATATGGAATACTGTTGTCATTTCTATGCAGGGGCAACTAAGTACCAGCTTCTCCCTCTGGACCGCATTCAACGAAGAGCGACTCGAATCGTCGATAGCCCAAATATTTCCGATCGGCTCGTTCATAGCGTTACGACGAGATGTGGCTTCACTCTGCACTCTCTATCACTCATATCATAGCGAGTGCTCCGACGAGTTGTTCGGACTAATACCGGCAACTTTCCGCCATTGTTCCCAAAATTTTCATTCCCATTACTCCTTTTCTCTCGCACCACCAATCTGTGGAACGGGTTATCGTCTGCGGTATTTCCGGACCGATACGACCTTCAAACCTTTAAGGAAAGAGCGTACTCCTTCCTAAAAGGCCGACAAAGTTGCAGACGCTCATGGGCGGCGATGGTCACTGTCCATCAGGTGACCTGTCTGCTCGTCTGCCCCTCTATGATAAAAAAAAGGAAAAAAAGAGTTGTGTTTAAAAAAAAAAGCAATTGCTATGATGGCATAAATGTACATACCCTTATCCTTGTCATCCTTCGCACGACTCTGGTCGAAGAAGCCCGTGGTGAGCGCTTTCCTCTTCAATAGGTAAGCGCGACGTTTCGGCTTCGTCGCTGCCACAGCATTTTCTAGACAACAAAACTATTATAAGTAATTCCTAAAATTGAGGTTAAAATCATAATGGGCAAGGTCCAAAATTGGAAAACTTTGTAATATGAATATTTTGCTTATTAAGACTTAATTTTCATTCTTTATTAGTTAATTATTTGTGATGAGGCCTTTATCAATAAGTTCAAAAACGACCGGTCACTGAAGGAGGTCTATGTCCAGCAATGGACGTCGCATGACTGAAATGATAATGATTAGCATTTGTGATATTGTTTTTGAAAGTACATTACATAAAAAGAGAATCATTTTTCATTCTCCATTTTTGTAACTATAAGTTTAGATCGCTTACATGTTACACAAATGTAATGAACCTATCATTACATTTGTGTAACATGAAATTGAAGGTATAAAAGGAAAGATCACTTTTGGTGTATATGATTCATCATCAACAGCCTATACTAGTCCACTGCTGGACATAGGCCTCTCCTTAGAAAGGAGGTTTTGGCCTACTATACCACGCTGGCCAGACGGGTTGGTATAGGGTTTGTTTCAAGTTTTCCTTCTCTTTGCAGTGCTGTTGTCCTGCTTAGTTTGCTCCCTTAGCCGCCTCTTACGACACCCACGGGATGAATTGGGGTGGTGACAATTTGTATTCTTAATCCGTCACCACACGGACTATATGATTCATAGTTTTATGTTATAGGTTTTGGTAACACAATTATGAAGGAGTTCAATTGAAGGAAGAAACACAAGCAAGCGACACCTGCACCTTAGATATTATAGTTGCATATGGAAGATCATGAACCAAGATCAGCCCAAATCTTGACGAAGTTAACAAGTTGGATAACATGAAACATGATATGGAGATGCCACAAATGCGCTTTAAACTGCAGGGAGCGGTTAGTGAAAAATAAAACAGTTTATCCATAAAACTGCTCAGAAACGTAGCAATTCGAGACGTTAACGCGATACTTGTTTTGATTGAGCGCCATTAACGGACAGGTCGCAGTGTGCCAATACCAATACATGTTTATCTGTTAGTACGTGTATGTTAGTCATGAAAATGGGTGATCGTGTTACTCTAGGAAATTCTTGTGTCACCTTACAGTGTTCTAACGGATGGCGCTTAGAACAAAGTACAGACAGTTTATGAACGTTGTGTACGCTTTGAATGTTGTGTGAAGTGACAAACAAACGTTAATATTTGACTTCATAAAAGTTTAGTTAAGAGTTTTGTTTTATGATTTATCTTATTTTGTTGCATACAAAGATAGCTTTTTCACGGCTACGTAAAAATCAATTTTAAAACTCCATTGGGATAAGTTTTTTTTTTTGTAATGAAAGGTATTCTTTTTCATTCTCTCTTATTATTCTATCTTTGTCGACTTATATGCAGAAATCTATACCTACTAATATTATAAAACCGAAGAGTTTCTATGTTTGTTTGGTTAAATGTGCCAATTTTGGGAACTGCTGGATCGAATTGAAAAGATCTTTTATTATTGGATAGCATTTATCGAGAAAGGCTATATAACATCACGCTTCGACCTATAGGAGTCGAGCATTAATGAAAAATGGAGAAAATCAATTCCTCTCGTGGCATCGAGGGTCAGCCAGTGTATGATGAAACGATACGTCATCAAATAAGGGAATGACAATGGTGTCTAAAACTTCTTTTTTTTTCAAATTTCATTCAATTTTTCCCCTACTGTATTTCCTAAAATATTCACTTATAGTACTAGATAGTTATGATAGCAGTACTAGATAGTTATGACTCAGGTGTCAGAAATTTCTGTAATTTTAGTGGCTAAGTGTGGAGACAATGCAGTTAACACATGCCGCATGCCGCGCATATTCGCGGCTATTTATAACGTATTAATGTCACACTGACACAGCCCGAGCCGTCATCTGACCTATCTGCTGTATTTATGTGCAGTACGGTGATGACAGAATATTAAATAACTTTGTGATGATTAAAAATTGTATGAAGTGTAAATAAACAAACAATACATATTTTAAATTATTAATTCTGATGGTGAGTGAATAGTGACTATTATACACACAATATATGTCACACATTAACCAAGTGACGAGTTCTATTTATTTCCTAGCGCTCCCTAAAGATGCTTATTAAAAAAGTAGATAAGCGTAAAATTATTTTCTATAAATAGAGACACCTGTATTTTTCGTATGTTGTGTCCACCGGATCATAAGTTTTTTTGTAGTGGTTGAGAGAATGAGAAATAGGAGCTGTTTTATTGAATTATGTACAAAAAAGACAAATCTTTATTGTCTCCAACAACAGACAACGCCGGCACTAGGAATGTATCCTGTGATGCCGCGGACTTTACAAAAAACATGAAACGGACACAAAGAACACCCAGACTCCAAACTACAATTTGTGGATCAATGCATCGTCCCATGTGGGGCTCGAACCCACAACACTCAGCGTAGCCATACGTGCAGTCAAAGATCACTAAAGGCGGTCGTGAATTATAAATTTTTAGATTAAAACCTTCTTCTCATCTAAATTAATTTTCATTATACTCTACGTACACGATGGCTACCGTTCTCGAGTTCGTTTTGTAAAATCCCTATAATAATTATCAAAAGTAGTAGTTGTACTTAAATCGAATATCAACAAAGAATGTGGACACAGAATATATAAAATCATTTATTATTTAAGCAAATATTAAGATGTTTCAGCACTGGGTTTATAATTAACTTTAAATTATATTTTCTAATAATACCTGAGTGTGTGTTCACTCGTGTGAACAGGAGAGGTGGGTAGTACGTTAAATAAGCGGAACAAATGGCATCACTGCATCAACACATACCAGGGCTGTGTTGCGTACTCTCTTTCGAATATTTGAAAATTATTGTTCTATGCAGATACTTTTCGTTTAAGTAAATCTAACAAAACAATTATAAAAAAAACGACTGCGTTAAAACGTCATTTCAAATCATTTTTTTTTTCAAATAAATGGATTAACAAATAAATAATTGAATTATTTATTTAATTTTGTGATAGATGGGTGGTTACAGATGTCAATTTTATTATGTACAAGCTATGTCCCGCTTATGGGCATACAAAATATTAGGTACATTCTTTATATTATTCTAAGAGTACATAATTATTCAAACGAACCATCATTATTTTACATAAGCAAAGTTATCAAACCATATAAATATATATTATTTAAAGTCATCAAAAACTTCAGGTAAAATTAAATAATAATAAAAGATATTTAAAATTTACCGTAAAAATAATCAGTTCATGTCAATAGTATTAAAAATGGTGATTGAAATATTCGTTTATGGAATAATATGCTTTATTCAAAAAGTCAAAAAGTTTACATTTAAATTTATTAATATGGTAATCTATTATATAATTTGGGTGCCATTACATATATACTTTTTATAGTTTTGATATATCTAGTGTCACTTTCACAATAAGGACGGATATAACGACACCTCCGAAGTCAAAATCCATGAAGCCGGTAAGACTACAGAACGTGCCAAAGAAATATACATACATATTGCAACACGCCAAGGTTTGACTGGAAGAACTGTGGCATTAAGTCTGAATTATGCAATATGTTTGCAGGTAGTCTCAATAGATAAATGCATATAATAATAATAATATTTGGGACATCTAACACATAATGCCATCTAGTTTTATTCTAAGCAGAGCTTGTACTATAAAGCTAGATTGATTGATAGAATACTTTTATACTTTTGTTTTGTAAATACTATACATAGATAAAACCCAAACTCCGATACAAATATTTGTATATCATACAAACATTTGGTCCCCCCCGGGAATCGAACCCGAGACCTCAGCCCAGCTGTGGCATACGTTATCAATGCACCACCGAGGAAGTCAAACATATAAAATTAACATACACTCGAGAAACATAAACTTCCCTTTAGCAAAACCGGATAAAACAGTAACTGGGTACAACACTTGCATTAATTAACTTTCTGGGTAAAGGTTCGTTCATACGAAAACCCTGGCGTTGATATTCGTTAATATACTTGTATATCATGAAGTGTGAAAGGTTAAAAAAGCAATATGGTCAAGAACCAGGGTACACAATACGGTAAGCATCGGATCCAGCTAACATTCATCATCATCATCAACAGCCTTTAACAGTCCACTGCTGGTCATAGGCCTCTCCTTAGAAAGAAAGTTTAGGAAAACATTAAGATCGAGACAAATTGACAGGTCGCCGAACAGCAGGAGGTCATGATTCGAAAGGTTTTAGTAGTCGATAATTATTAAAATTGAAGTTTCTAGAAATTGTGTGTGGTGAAGTCATAATTTCGCTGTGGACATTAGAGGTAAAAAAAATCTTTAGAAAATTCTTTTAAAAATAAAAAAAGTATTAGTTTATTCAGTGCCAGCCCTATGGGGTTGTCACCGGTGTGTGCGCATACTGATTTACTTGATAAAGATTTATTATACAAAAGTATATTATGTTACAGCACATAAAACAGAAGTTTAACAGAAAATTAGTGTACTAGCTGGCAGCGGGAATCCTACCGCTTATTTTTATAATATTTTATTTAATGAAACACACTAACATCAAATCAGTTGTGTATTAAAATAAATACTTCGAACAAACATTATACGCGTTTTAACTTGATATTTGTTGATACATAAATTTAAAAAAAAACTGTTTTCTGAAATTGTAAGTGGAAAAGTTCAAAGACTGCCTTATGATTTATTTTAATGTGTGCGGACGTAAAAATTATATGTGTACGACTGTAAGAACACGCGCAATTTTTTTTTCTTATTTAAAAGATAACTCCCGCATTAGGAAAATATCCTGTGTCGCGGGGGACTTTACAAACATACATGAAACGGACACAAATAACACCCAGACTTGGAACAACAATTTGTGGATCACACAAAGTGTCGTCCCATGTGGGGTTTGAACCCACAACACTCGGCGTAGTAGGAAGCGGCGTGGCGACCGCTTAAACCACTACGTTATCCGTGCAGTCGAATTATACA